GCACGATTGAACATCGTAAAAATGCATCAAATGTTTGTGAAAGATTACCCAGATTTAGCAGTCAAAGTGAAATACAATTTATATTATAAATATTTCAAAGAAAATTTTGATTTTACCTTTGGTCGACCACAAGTAGATGTGTGTAGACAGTGCGAAAGTTTAAACACGAAAATAAGAGATCCAGCTTTAAGTGAGAGTGCTAAACAGGGTGCAGCTGGTGAGCTTATATTACACAAAAGAAGAGCCAAAAAATTTTATACCGAGTTAAATACTGCCAAAGAAAATAAAGATGATAACACAGTCGTTTAATGTTTTAACTATATGTCAAACTTACCCTTACCGAACAAACCTGTTCAAGAGGTGTTTTATATGCGTCAGTTATGGGTAAATATTTTTTGTATACATGACGTAAAAACAAATCAGGCAAAAATGTATATGTACCATGAAGGAGAAGCTAGTAAGTCTCCGAATGAGGTTTGTTCTTTTCTACTACATTATTTTGAAAACTGTATCCCCAACAACACATAGAATATTATTCTATTTAGTGATGGTGCAGCTGGGCAGAACAAAAACCATACAGTGGTGAGATTTCTTATGAATTTGTGCGATTGAGGAAAGTTTCAGGCCATCACTTATTTTTTTCCAGTTCGCGGCCACTCGTTTTTGCCATGTGATAGGGATTTTGGTTCCATAAAAAGACTTAAGAAAAACAGATCGTATCTATATACCACAGCAATACGCTCAACTTATCATAGAGGCTAGCAGGTGCAGTCGTTTTTTCGTTCACGAAGTGCAAACAAACGAAATTTTGAGTTTTAAATCTGGTGGCCATCTTCATACAAGAAAACAGTAAAATCAGACGAAACTTCAAGAAGAGGAATTCATAAGGACGACCGAATTATATTCAAAGTATCTTCATACAAACAATTTATTTTTAGACATCGCTTACCTGGAAAAGTAGAAGTCAAGACCTTCATTAATGGTATCTCTTCATCTACGTTTACTTTTAAAAAACCAATCAATCTCCTGATTTATCAACTACCAAAGCCTACCCTACTGGAAAAGTTCCAATAAACAAAAAAAAAAATTGAAGACTTGAAAAGCTCTCGGAATATACTACAGACTATTCAGATTTCTATAACATTATTTTGAGCTGGCCAACATTAGCTCAGGAGGAAGAAATGGACGAATCAGAATATGAAGAACAGTAATAATAAATTAAAACATTTTAATTTGCATAAAATATATTTTTTTGATACTTTTAACATCTATTTGTAATAATTTAATTTTTAATAGTTTGTCAAAAGTCTACTTTGTTAATTTTTCCTCAAATTAAACTTATTATTACCTTAAAACTCGAAAATTATTGTTGAAAATGTATTTTATTGCAGAAACACCATAATTGCAAAGGGAAAGGGTTTAAATTTACCCCTTCTCTTTAATTTTGGTGAGCATATGATTATATGAGTATGTTCGATGTTATCTATAGAACCTTCCTCTACTTCCAGAAATGAAAAAAAAAATTTTTTAGAAAAATGCGAAGTTTTTATTAATTTCTCGAAAGTTTAAATTTCTGTACTTAAGGGGTTTCTGAAATAAGCGATTCAATTCGATTTCATGCAATATATTTATCATTAAAGCAACAACGAATTTAACTCAGTTTTTAAAATTAGAATGACACAAAAAGAATTTTATTGGGGATACCCGTTTTTGTCAAAACAATACCATTTCCTTTTCCGCCAATTCGTAAACTGGTCAATTCCCTTTTCTGTCAATTCACTTTACTGCCAAATGAAAAAAGTTATTCTAGTATCTAAATATTATGGGATGCTTTTATTTATTACAATTATTAATTAGATAAATAAACTAATTAAAAATCAAAAAATTGTTTTATTCTATTTTTGTACGATTTTATTCATGAGTAAAAAATACCGTAAATTCAATACAAGGTAATATTTTTTTTTTTATTGAAATTTTCTAAGTACAGTGGAGCGTCGATTATCCGTACTAATTGGGACCGAAGGGGATGCGAATAATCGATTTGTGCGGATAATGAAACAACCATTGAAAATTGTAATATAAAGTTAAAAACTAATTTACTAGATATAATACTAAATATAATATTCATACATAATATAAAAAAAAACATATATATATATATATATATATATATATATATATATATATTATATTTATATATAATATAACATTATAGTACACGATATAACATAACGAATGATAAAACTAAAAATAAATTTGTACTCAAAAATTTTGTAGTGCAAATAATTGACGGGTCCGGATAATTGACGTGCGAATAATCGACGCTCCACTGTATACAATTAATTTCGAAAATTATGTGAATATGTTATATATGATTATAAAAGTAGCCCAAAGTGAAAAAACGAACGAGATGGTGGCAATTATGGTAGTAACAAAAAAAATAGTTGTTAATACTTAAAAGTTATAATATTTATTTTTACTTCAATCTCATACACATAATAAAATATACAATCACTTTTCTTATTACTATATAAGTTCAAACTTACACGAAATTCGTCAAATGTTAATTATTTTTCCTTTATGAGATATATCTAATGTATCTTAATTTTCACCGTTTTAATTTGATTTATGAATAATAAACTGACATTAACCTATGTAAAATAAAAAAATATTATTGAAATCTTGAATTGTTTAATTTTTATTTACCTATATAGGTGTATTTTTTGAGTTAATTCGAAATGTAGATACAATAGTTCAATATTTTGTCCAAATACTAAACTAGCTCTTTTCATTCCGGAGAAAAAAGAATCATCCAATTTACCATTCGGCGTAAAAGAAAAGGTATATACGTACTTTTGGTGAAAACCGCCCATACCCGAATTTCATACATGAATGTATGAACTGTTAACTACATTAAACTCCTTAAAATCTGAAAGTAATTTTATACTTGTTTAGACAAGGTTTGGTATTTACACTATTTTTACTATACTTAGAGGACTCGATTTTTGACGCCAAGTCATTTGAAAAGGGAATACTTTAAAATGCAAACAGTTGCGTAATAATGGACATTTCGGTGTATCAGAATCTAAAATATTGTAAATCTACATTTCGACGTTAAACATGTTGTTAAGTATTGTAAAATATGAATCTTTAGATATGCATAAAATGTAATAATATTAATGTATCAAAGTTTATGTTATCATTGGATCATCAACAATTTGGTTATGTCATTAAATTAAATTCTTTAAGTTCAAATAGTTTAAGAATACTCATGAACAGTAATTTTTTTTTCTCAGTCAATTAAGATTCTCGGATTCTATGTTGAATACACGAGTATTTATAGTTTATAAATATAATTCAAGTATCATTATACAAATAATAAAGTATTATAAACTATTTCTTATAATACTTTGTTATTTGTATGTTGATACTTGAATTATATTTACAAACTATAAGTACATGTGTATTCAACGTCAGACACAGGAATTTTTGTCGACTGAAAAAAAAAAAACCACGTGTGATGGTTTAAATATTTATTTTATTTTTTAAGAGCTCTATATTCAAATACACTTTGCAGTACATTAGGGTCTTACTACTAATTATATTAATCTAAAACAATACACTTGTTGTGGCCAAAACACGTAATGTCGAGATCTAATAGTAAATATATTGTAGAAAATACATTTTCCAGGCTGGCGCTTCAACGGCAGGATCATAAACGGTCAATAATTAGTTTTCAAAATAAATAGAACATTTCTATTTATTCATTTATTATTTATTATCAATTTTATTTTTTAAACAAATATCAGTGTACGAATTCCGTTGGTTAATGATTCGGTTTCAATTCAACCGTCGCGTTTTATAACACACGAAATCGTCGTTAATATTTATTTCCATAGCACACGATATGGATTCGGTTCAGCTTGCGCAGTGCGTTTGTAGACGGGCGAAAGGCCCGTCGAATGATGCGAACGCAGTCCGAGGACTTTCAACCGTAAAGACGACCGCACAAAACGTCGTGCAGAGGGACCGGGTAATCCGTGTACGGGACGGTTTTCCGCCGTTGTTTGCACGCGGTACACGGTAGGCCAGTATACTTTATCTCGGCACCTTTCCCCTGGCCGCAACAGAACGTTTCGTTCGAAGGTTTCGATTGCGATGCGCGCACCGCACCGAGTGGCTTCGGCAGCAGCGGCTGTTGTTGTCGACGTATCGAAAATACATTGCAGGGTTATGCCTTGTTTACACGTGACGAGTACTCGGCCGTGTCACTCGTTATGTTGCTCGGTCCAATACCGAAATTGACCGAGTCAGCATTTACACATATTTTATTTGCTTGGCCGAGTGACACATAAGTTCACTACAAGATCTACTCGGTTGGCGGTTTATGCACACCGAGTACAGTTAATTTTGGTAGTAGCTGTAGCCGCTCGGCCGAGTGAATAGAAACGGTTTCTATTCACTCGCTCGATCATTTTACTGGGCCGAGTACTAGGCCGAGTACTAGTTCCTTAAGTTCACGCAGGACAGTGCTCGGTCGAGTTGACTCTCTCGGCCGAGTACTCGTCACGTGTAAACAAGGCATTACGGTTCGCTCGGAGCGAGCTCGTTTGTTCCGGACAATCGGATGGTTTCGAATTGGTTACGATTACGCAGCGCTGCACCGATGAGGTATCACCCGCCGATGCGGCGGTAATAGTACACTTGGAATGCGTTCTCCGTTGTCAACACTTATCTGAAACATTACGCGCTTGACCGCCTAAAATTAATCGCGACAACACGCGCGACTAAACGAAATATAATAGTTGTGTAAAAAAAAAAAAAATATTAAAAAATTATGAACACTAACCGCGTTGTGAAATATGTTTAATCAGTATTCAATGGTTCTCAACCAAAGCGGTTGTGTGAATTACGCCCGGCGCCAGGAAATTTATGTGCAGCACCGACAATAGCAGCAAATACCTAATTAGTTATTATAATATTCATTTTTTTTTTTTTTTTATCTTAAAATCAATTTAATATCGTATCTACACTGCGATTAACATCAACGCCATTGTTTTAAAATTGTAATTTGTCAACTTGATATTTACCCACTGCTTGTATACGAAATTATGCGTGAATTGGGCGGGGTTTCGCGGGGTCCATGGAAATGTTTGAGAACCGCAGTTATCACATTCGTGGTGGTTGTTCGTGTTTAATTGGATTCATATGTATAAGAATTCAGACACGTTTATTTCAATCGGTAACAAACATTTCTGTTCAGAACCATATTATTGTAAAGTGTTTTAAAAATAAATCGATATTTTTCCAAGTAAATTATTTTACTATGGGTTTGATGTGCTACGATCAAAATAAGACATTGGTAAGTAGAACGTGCACAATAAATTTTCACATAAGATTCCAAAATCCATAACTATATATCGTGTTATAAACTGTTATTTTTAATAATTAACGAATAATTTCAATTTCACATGATGCGTTGTATTATTTAACTTTTATGTCGCAAACGTTATTTAATTTTATAAATTCATTTTTTTTTTCTTTCGTCGCTTTCCCTTTATTAATATAGGATTCTTTATGATTCACGTGTTATAAATATAACTGTTATAAATAATGAAAGAGACCTGACTTTATGTTTTTAAAATTTTATAAATTAATAAGTACTAAATTAGAAGACTGATTATCCGGACTAATTATTGTTAAGGGTGGTCCGGATAAATAAATTTCCGGATAATAAGCCTCAGAATAAGATTGCCTATATTTACTTTCAATCAAACTGTCATCATTACAATGAAGGAAAGGAAAATAAACCGCAGTTTATTTTTCTCTCCTTCATTATCACTTTTTCCAGCTAAGCTATGAACTATTTCATCATCTGAAAGTATGTTGTATCCTATATCAATATTTTTGTCCATAAACAACTACCAATTTGTGTTCGTATCAACAATATCCTACAATTATCTACGTCGCAATTCCCTAATACGTGGACTTAGCCTACACATTATCGAAATACGATTACGATTAACGAGTTATTAAAATAAATAAACCTTTTTTTTCTTATCCGGATAATTGGACGTCCGATAAATTGGCGTTTGGATAATTGGAGTTCTGCTGTATTTACAATAATAAATACAACTTACAAAAATTTCAAATGGGATTGCAAGAAATGAATTTTCGTCATATACAATTATAATATGTTCAATCACATTCATATTTTACGTTAAATTTCATAGTGGTATGTTTAACGGTGGTTTAAAAACGACTGAGTTATTACAAGATTATAATGTACAAGATAATTTAATAAGATACAAATATTTAACAATAACATAATTATGTTTATCTTTCGTTGGTGAATACAACCGACTGCATTTCGTATCCCGAGATTTCTGGAGCATTTATCCATCGGTAATCGAAGAAAAGTCTGCAATAATCATAGTCTTCACGTTTAAGTGATTAGAAAGTGTCAGATAAAGTTATACAAAAATGTTATTAAGGTTTTGTTATAGTTGAATTATTATTGTTCTATAAGTATTAAACAAACTAAAGTTACGACTATTACATTCTATACCTGAGTTGAAAAATGATCAACTGTCAATCTATTATTTTTTTTTTTTGGTAGAATAATTTTAAATCCACACAAATACACTACGTTATCGATAGACATTTATTAAAATCATTACACTAATGTAATACAATAATTTCATTACAAAATCGTATATCACGTTTAACAACCATCATGACGTTCCTGATACATTTTTACGGTAAAATTATACACAAATCATTAGTTTAAAAGAAGAAAATATAACAAGTTGTGTATTTATTTAAATGTAGTTCATTGTGTTTTTACCGATTCATTTCTAGTATTGTCAGTACTGATGTGCTTATAGGATTGATACTATTTGATATATATTGTACAAAGCGTATTTATTCGATATTATAACATAGTGCACAGTAAATATTCTAAGGAAAGTGGAATACGTTTTACTTTTGATACGTCGTATACTGATAAATTAAAAAAGTTAGTTATACCGTAAACACTAATCCAGAAAAGAAAAAAATGATATATTACACCCACTTAAAGTACGGTACTTTATTAGTAATTGATAATTTTTTACTCCTTTATTGCAAACCGTTTATAATATTATTGCTCGAAACATGTTATATCAAATATAATTGTAATGATTAAAGTTAAACATACTTTATTGGTTTTGGTTGCGAATGTCTTTTTATGCTCTGTATGCACAATTTTTGACAGCTAATTGGTCGTTATCAGCATACATAAGAACACTTTTATTTTATTTTAATTTTATTACACGTTATATTACAGGATTATGGTCCAAGGGGTACAGTTTAGAAAGTATATTTATGCTATACTATACTATATTATTATAAATATACGCGGGAAATTTTAAGAGCGCAGCTGCAATAATTATTTGTGTTTTTAATAACTCTAGAAATCATAACATTATTTTGTGTTATAGAAAACCCCAAAGTCTGTATGGATAATTTTACTCGTTGAGTTATGCGAACAATTTAGTTATTACGTATTCAGAAGTAAGTTAATGATCTAAATTATTTAACATTAATTCAATTTATTGTTCTAATTTTCCGAATAACCGATTTTCAGCTGTCTTAGTCTTGTATCTAACGAGAGTATTATATTTTAATGAAGACATATCGACAATAATACATCACAGTTGTGTATTTCTATCTTACTTTATGTCATTTGTTGGTGCAATTTTGGCCGATACGTATTGGGGAAAATTCAAGTACATAATATTTTTTTTTTTCAAATATAATTTTGTGATAATTTGTAATATAATTGGTTTTGCTATATTTTTTTTCAAAGGAGATAATACAATCGAAAATATTGAATATATATAAATATTGCCGAAATGTATAAGGCTGTATATCATCATAAAATTAATAATATTCCTAAAATATCATAAATTATTTGTTTTAACCCCAATACCAATGAAAATAAATTATTATATTTTTTAGTAAGTAAAGAAACAACCCGAAAAATTGTATAAAACACACAAAGCTGTAAACGCTAATGAGCACCTACCTACAACTTCAGATTTTGTTGAATAATTCGTTTCCATGACTACATTTTTAGAGTGTTCCCAGAAGTTTATTGTTTGAAATAGGTTTCGATTGATTATCTAGACATACTCTAGAGTTAGAATGAGCAAAAAAAAATATCCCACATAAAATATCCAAAGAAATATCATTAGGTATTGACGTATTGTCTTATATTTTAAGTCGACGTGTTTTTTTAGAACAATAATAAGACTATCAGCAGTGAATGTTTTGGGAAGTATGATACTCACCAGCGCATCGATGTCAACAAACGTGTTCAGTCTCAACATTCAAAAGTGAATAGACAATGTTATGCTAAAAATATTTCGTTATAAATAAATATCAGTGGCGCAACTGTAAATTATAAGGGATCATGTAGAATCGCTTGGATTTGATATTTAGTTGAGCTGATGGGTAACAGCTCCGTATTTAAATTAGAGTTTTAGTATGAAAACGGAACAGTAAATTAACATTAATGGGATCATTAATAGTAAGGACCTAAAACTAGGGACTAGGAAGTTAAACAAGTTTTACGGTATCTTAATATTTTTATCAACCAGCTAATAGTAGTTATCTTCCCCATCCCTACATAATAGTAGTTGGACTATAAGGATATTATATTTTATAGTTATCGGTTAAATAAAAAGACATAAAATTGTCAAAAACTCTCGATGTGTATAGTCACTCTCTGAGCATACAAACAAGAGTTAATGCAGGAAGGGTCCGGAATCCAAGACCTACACTTAATTCGAAGTTACGCCTATGGTAAATATTTATCACGTTGGAAGTCGTGATTACATCTTGTGTTTTTTTTTTTTTTTTACTTTTTAGAGTTATTGCTCTTCTCGGGTTGTTGGTCATTTCGGTTGGAGCGGGTGGAATAAAACCGTGCGTTTTTGCCTTTGGGAGCGATCAATTCCAGTTACCCCAACACGTGAAACAGTTCCAGCGTTTTATTGTAAAATTCATGATCGCGGTAAGTATCGGTGCGTTGGCGACGTCGTTCGCGACGCTCGAATTACGAGAGAGCGTACTACATCGTTTTAGAAAAAATAATATTTATCCTCTGGCGTTTGGAGTGCCGGCTGCGTTGATGTTGATCGCCACAGGTAAAGCGCAATTGTGACAAGCCTTAAGTAATAACCGACGAAAACACCAAACTAGAATCTAATGAAATTGTTACACTTAGTCGTATTAGCTTCCGGCAGAAACGTATGCACGAAGATGAAGCCAGACAATCACGCCGTTTTCAGAACGATTGGTTGTATGTTTGTAAGTTGTGTTTCGTTCGTACCGTTTGCGACAAAAATTTATTTCGTTATTTGTTGTTTCAAGTACGGGCTGCGCGCAAAGTGCATCTCCTCGCGTTCCCCGCGCAATAATCACTGGCTTGACAACGCTAAGGACGAGTACACTGAAACCGAAATTTCGGAAATGAAGACATTTCTAAACGTGATCACTGTGTTCACGGCATATCCAATGTATTGGGCGCTGTACGAACAAGTAAGTACACAAACTAGCAGTAAGGCACGTAGACAGAATTTCATTTATAGAATACAAAAAAATTTGATTTTCTCCACCCTAAATTAGAACATTTCACAATAATAAATCATTTTTGATTCAGTTTCCATCCGTTTACGATAAAATACTTTTTATTATTAATTGCTTTTAAAATGAAGAATATGTCATTTACGTTTTCATCAAAAACGATTATAATTTATGGAATGGCGCTGAAAAATCATGGTGCAAGGAAGGGTTAAAGATCGCATGGACCCACATGGATCTGACAGCAGTAATGCAAGTAATGGATTTAACGAGGAAGAAACGGTGATTGAGAGGGCTTCAAGTGTGAGGGGGAGGGGGAAGATGTAAGAACGATGGATCGAGACACCAAACTAAAAAAAAAACATCCTCAATAACTTTTCTTTAAAAAGTTCACTTAAATACTCAACTGTTTGATACAAAGAAATTTACTTACATTGAAAATAACTAGTTAGTTTTAAAATAGAAGTACTAAAATTTAAAAAAAAATTGTTGAATTTTATACTTCTTTAATTACTTTTATTATTATTTACTTCCGTAAACTAGGAAATCTCATATTTTTCGTTGCATAATATTACCGCAACGTGTTCGTAAAAAAACTGACACCCTTGCAAGGGAGTGTTTGGATTTTTTTGAGGGGGGGGGAAGTTGGGAAATTACGTCAAAACAAAATTTCACAATTCAATCAATTAAAAACAAAAATCAGAACTTTAGTGCACAGTTTTAATTTTCATTGTACATTTATAACTCTTTTTAACAAAATTAATGAAATAAAATTAAAATAAAATTAAATGGAATACATAATTAAAATTATCATTTACAAAATGAATAAAATAAAATGCTGAAATAATAATAGGAAATCAATACTACAAACATGAACAATTTGAAACTAATAATTAATGGCTACACACGAATTGCATTCCGACAAAATATTTGATAAGCGAGTACACGAATTGTGTCCGGCCTTATCTAATCTACTACATGAATTGCGTCCGGGTTTGTTTAAACGAATATATGTACGATAAACATGCTTTAAAGCATATAATAATTTTAGTTTGGCCGCTAATTCAAATGAAAGGATGCAGGTTTCATTTAGGTCAAAGTTGGTGGAGGAAAATTCAAACGGTTGATTTAAGTCAAGAATACAAAAAAAATTCAGATATCAGTATTTTCTTAAAATATTTTTTTGGTCTTCCATTTTTAAAACCAAGTGGAGGATTGTTTTACGGAGATATTGTATCAATTTAACCCGAAGATGAAAAAGTACAGCAATTTTCTGATTATATATTAAATACATACATAAAACCTGTTCGTAACTTTCTGTTTTCTGCGTGGGCAATGAATTCAGTCTCTATAATTCGAACTACGAATAGTTGTGAAGCCTTTCACTCAAGTTTAACAGTATGTTTTACTCAGCACACCCAAATATAATCCAATTTATAAATGTTTTAAAAAACATACAAAAAGAAACTTGTATTAAACAATGAAGTATTCATGTAATTAAAAACAGACGGATGATGGTATATAAAAAAGAAGATTATTTAAGACAAAATATAACAATAAAACAATGATTATATGAATTTTTAAAATTTTATAGAGTAAGAGCAGGCTAAAAATTATTTTATTAACGTTGTTGATTTTCATTGACATTTTATTTGATCTTTTTATTATTAAATTCAATGTTATAATTTTTTTTTTTTTGACCCTTATAATTTTTCAATTTTTTTTTTTTAGAAATGTATATATCGTGAAATATGAAAAATAACGTAAAACCTCTCGATAAATACATTTGATTAAATCAGATTTATGTTTGCAAAAACTTATGATTATTATTTTATTTTTACTATAATATTTTATTTTTTCTTTATTTTTGGGTATTTACGGTACTAAGTCTTAGTTCTATGTCCATCCCGTCATACAACTAACCCTTAAATTCTCCCAGTCGACCGCTCTTAAATTCTAACTTTGACCTCCATTTAATGACTATACGTCTCTTTTCGCCTCTTCTAATCTCATACCAAAAAGTTTATTCCCTTTGGGTTCTTTGTCATTGCCATGTGTAATCACCATACTGACCACTGTAATCTTTTGTTCTGGATTAATTTTACATGTTTCATTTCTGGAAGATTACCTCTAATTCTCTATTTTTTTCTTATCCTCAATTCAGCAGTATTCCTTGACTTTTACTGGATTATTCTAAGGATTTTTTTTCTCCAAGTTTATTTTCTTCCGGTTACTACATGTTTCTGCTCCGTAAGTAATTATAAACGTAATAGCGTATAATGCATTTAATTGTATCTTTATTTCTCTCGTAATATTTCCAAATTATCTAGTTGTATGTTTATATACGAGTACAACTAATACATTATGTGGTTACTAGTAGGAGGTGTGAGAACGAATTTCCCCACTAATCCGTTCGTAACAAAATAATAATTTTTGAATTTTTTGTAACTTATATCCTCAGAGAATTTTTTCTTAAATTCCCCACTGTCCACCAAGTATAATAGTGAATTTAATTGAAACGGATCTCCACGACAGTTAAACAAGTGTTCATTTTATTCCGCAGAGTTCTCGGTGGACGTTACAGGCCACGCTGATGGACGGCCGTTTGGAATATTTGGACTGGTCAATCAAAGCGGATCAAATGCAAATGATAACATCAATTTTTGGATTGGTATTTCTTTTCCTATTCAACTATACGTTATACCCATTGTTAAAAAAGCTCGGTGTTCGAAAACCATTACAAAATATTACGTTGAGCAGTTGTCTAGCCGTTATAGGTTTTATTTTTGCGGCTCTTCTCCAATTCGAAATCAACGTAAGACTGTCCGTTACATCATTCGTGCTTGATAAATAACAAGCGCTCATACGCTTCATTACAGGGAGACGATCCGGTAATACCACCAAAAGAGGGTCGTCTTAATATTTACAATGGGTTCGATTGTAACGTCATATTGCATTCACCTACGTTACACGTGGATAAATTAGGCGCTCTTGAAATGATTAATGTTAACTACATGCCAATTTCACAAGAAGAAATCGTTGAAATCAAATTACAGTTCGATGCTGCGTGCACTTTCGTTCCTGAAAATGTTACACTTAACACTACTGTGACTGTCGCCGAGGGAAAAGTAAATATTTTCGTCAAAATACATTTACATAAAGAAAATTCATCTTGAATATTGTGTTCAGCCACTTAAAAGTAAATCTTGTAAAAATAAACTAAATTATATTGGTCTATCTACTCAATTTGACTTGAATAATTAGACAATATCGATAATAAAGTATATGGTATTGTAATTCCGAATACCTACATTATTTAACAGCATTTTAAATGAATATCAATCATATTATATTTAAACGACTCTTTGAAACATTATTCTTTAACAGCTTCTCACAACTTACTATTTTTTCCCCAGGAGATTTCTTATTACTTGACACGTTCAAACTTAACCACGATTGAACTAACCCGCATTGGTATTTATGACAATTTAACGAAAAACAAACATGGAAACCCGATTTTGAGGTGTATAAAATACAATAACTATTGTTTATACTACAGTATAAATTAAATTCAGAGAATATTCCTTTTTTTTAGAGTTTTGATGGACTATTCTTTAGACTTTGAAGACAATATTTCATTGGAAAATGGAGACAAAAACGTACATCGATTTCCATCATTTCGTGGAATGGATTTCATCCCAATGAAAATTGGCAAGTGAGTACTGTTTGCTTCTGCGTGATTACAATAATCACAAATAACATTATTTTTATATTCTATTTGTGTGTTACGTTTATTCTGTAGGTATAGTTTGTGTTGGAATGGAATAGTGTTTCCCATGTATATTGAGTTATTTCCAGCTACATTTTATACGCTCATTTTACAGAAAAATGACCAAAAAATAGTAAATTTATATTAAGTAACTGATATTTGGTAGTTTATATTGTTTGTACAATAAAGAAATTCAATATAAGTACAACAAGTTGACTATACAATATTATATTTACAGGACACTAAACTATTTGCAAAATATGAAAGCAACCGTGTTCATTTACTTTGGCAGCTCCCGCAGTATTTTTGCATGACCGTAGCTGGTGTCATTTTTATGGTTAGCTGTTTGGAATTTTCAATGACTGAGGTAATTATTTAATTTTTAATAAGAAATATAATTTAAACTTTAACAGAGTTTCTGAAGGCCAACATTAATATCTAGGTAATTGATTTTATTTGTCATACATACTATGACAACATAATCAAAAGTGGGCATTAACTAATTAAAAAGTTAACCCTAGTTAAGTTAAAAAGTTTATTTTTTTTTATTTTTAACTTAACTAGATTAAATGGTAGTTTAAATTACTTAGCTTTTCACAATTGATTTAAAAATGATCTATCAAGTTAAAAGATTTTGAAATTTTTCGTTTATGCGTAAATATTAATATAAAAATCAAATAATCATGTAAAATAAAATGGTCGTATACACTGTACATCAGGTGTCACATTAGATTTTGTTGATTGGGGACACATCTTTTGGTATTGGGTGCTGGCCGTGGATCCAGAATATTATGTATAAAGAATTTTAACTATTAAGATAAATAAATACGATGTAGTGAGTGGGGCGGAACTCTTTTCGCCCAAAAATAATTGTATTCTTTTCGTCCATGGTTTCACGTTTTACATTTTGGAAACCACTTTCTCAAAATTAATAATTTTTAAAAAATCATATTTGATATTCGATAAAATCACGTATTTGATTGTTATTAATATATTCAGTCGAGAAAAGCGTATAAAGGTGCCGACTATTCTATTAAAATATATAGTTAAAAACACTTTAATAAACGTTATAATTATTTAAAAGTCATGATTAATATGAATATTTGTATTATTTTACAACAACAAAACAAACTATTTAAGTAGTAACCTGATCAAATAACTTATTAGTTATTTTACTTCGATAACACTATTTTAAATACTTATTTTTAACACTTATTAAATTATTATTAATTATTATTAATAATTATATATTTTTTTATTTTTTTATTTGATTATTATATGATTTTTTTAAAAATTATTAATTTTGAGACAGTGGTTTCCAAAATGTAAAACGTGAAACCATGGGCGAAAAGAATACAATTATTTTTAGGCGAAAAGAGGAAACTGTTTTTTCATTTTTGGTCGAAAAGAGGACGTGGGCAAAAAGAGAAAGGTAATTTTTGGGTGAAAGGAGTACCACCCAGTAAGTGGTCCCTTGATGTACAATATCATAGTATTTTTCAAACACTTCGACGCCACTGCTGTACATTATGATAAAAATTCAATGAAATTGTTTATTATAATTTAGGAAATTAGATCTTTCTAAAGAACGCAGTCACTTTTTATGTTATCTAAATACTATTTGAAAAAATAGATTTACTTTTTTTAAACTGAGTTAAGTTAATATTTTTTTCTTTATTATCTTTTAACTTATCAAGTTAAATTTATGAATTGTTAGCTGTTAACTTTTAACTTCTTAATCATTTTTTGTTCTCTCAACTTAATTTAACTCGAGTTAATCATTTTCATTAACTTGTCCACCTTTGATCATAACTATCTTTGGAAAACTAACTGGTCGCATGAATCCATCAATGATTTATTGTTTTTGTTTATTTTCCATAGGCCCCGTTAAATTTTAAATCGTTAATATCAGCATTCAATTTGTTGACCGCAGCATTCGGAAACTTGTTGGTCGTTATCATATCAGCTTTATCAATTGAAAACCAAGTAATATTTTTTCGGATATACTATTTAAACATTTTAATGATATCGTAATTGTGTATCGTGTAGGCTTACGAGTATTTGTTGTACTCTGGTCTCATGTGCGCCGACACGATGTTAATCGCTTATTTCAGTATTGTTTACCGAAGCGGCAATAAAACACATTATTAAAAAAAAAAAACCGGAAAGTGTCACATGTGACAGTCAGAAGATGTAAAAGCATATATGGCTTAAATATATAGATTTATTATGTAGAATTCGAAGTAAATATTTTTAATTTAAAACACGTTTTTTTATATTATTTGTAGGATAGGATTGAACATTTTTAAAAATTATATTTGTTCAAAGAAAGAACGCATTCTATGCCACCGTTCTATCTTAGTCTAGTCGAGTTATGTGAAGAGCGGCTATCATACGATTGGTAAGATTCGGGATACAGCAGTGGTCGGTGGTGGCCAGACGGTAATTTGTGGCCGTAAAAACATCCCCATCCTAGTCACTGTTTCGTACCGCTGTGCCACACTGCAGTCTTGATACCGAACCAAAACGTATACGTGGAAAATTGAATACTTCCAATAACTATTTAATTAATTAAATTATTGAAGTTTTCTCATTAGATGACTTATATGCACACAAAGTACTCACTTTAAAAAAAAAAATCAGTAGAATATTCAAATATAACTGTCATCAAAATCGTCTCTCTTTCTATAATATTCTCTTAATATAATAGGTATTGAGTTACGTAATAATTAATAATTAATGAATAGGTATGCATAAGGTGCTGCACCCACCAAAGTAACATGACGCGTGATCTGACGAATGATATGACCAATAAATAACAAATGATTTGTGTGACTCGCACCAAAATCACATGATTTTCTAATGACAAGTCATTTCTATGTTTTTTTTCAGTTGCCATAATGTCGTCTGAAGATGAAGACGTTCTTACTGCAATAAATTTAGTAAATTATTTAAATTACAATCAAAGTTTTATTGTGCGCAAATACTGGGTCTATCCATTTTGGCGTAAAAATTGCTATTCCTGTGGTGTATTCTCCGTATTCAAAGAGTTAGACGATCCTGATCGTTTTAAAAGTCTTTATAGAATAGAAAAATCGACATTTGAAGAGTTGGTTAGATTAGTTGGACCAGAAATTTAGAAAAAAGACTTTTTTACTTTGTAGCACACGTTGTCAACCTATCGACGTCTATGAAATTCTCCACGTGACAAATAACAAAAAGTAGTACAAGCTCTATTATTTTGCGCGACAAGTAACAACAATATTACACATGATCTGACATGTCAAATTAGTGAGCGCGATTAAGTGATTTTCCGTTATAACTATAAATAAAATTTTACGAATGACACGTCACTAACACGTTACTTGTCATATCACTCGTCAGATCACGCGTCATGTTACTTTGGTGGGCGCTGCGCTTTACGTGAAAAAGGTAACGTTTGACCATTTTCACGGTCCAAGCGGAAATATTAGAATGCCGTATAAAATGTTTTCACATCAAAAATCAAAATAAATAAAAGGTTTGATAAAATCTTTTTGGTCTATATATTTTTTAATATTATAATTATAGTACATAATACTATTATTATATAATATATTATAATTATATATGATGAATATTTTCCAAAAGGTAAAATTTTTGGACCATATCATTGTATACATATAGTGATACTGTTTGATAACTTGTAGTATAATAATTTAAACAAATAATGTTATAATAATTTAATTATAATTAATTATAGTAACAAAAATAATGTTGTTTTATCATGCTTTTATATACCAATATTTGTATTTTATTCTTTGAGCGATGACCATTTTTAGTTTTGAAAACCAACAACGCACTGGGGAATCATGTTACAGCAATACTAGACTTACTCGAGATCAGAGGCGTGCTTAGTGGGATTTTGGGTATTTAACTCCTTCCCCCAGAAATGTTAACAAATTTAAAAAAAACTTATTGCTTAATATTTTTATATAATTTAAGTTTAATATTATAAATATTTGCCAGGGTTATTTATACAATCTATTGTCGATCTATCGAGTACTATAAAATTAATTATCACCAAAATTATTATCTTGTGAAATAAATAAATTCGAAATACATGTAGGTAAAAAATATTGAATCCCCTCCCTCGTAAAATATTTCTAGGCCGCCCCTGATTCGAGACAATGATTTACTTTTGAATATAACATAATATAACGAGCGTCGTAGTCAAACGAAATGAGACGGTTGAGTTTGAACGCAAGTCACTGACTCGAAACCGATCACCGCCAATTTCATAATCTGAACAGGAAGATCGGCCGAAAAAACCTCCAACGTGTTTTACATAATACGAGTAAACCAACACTTAATTACCGCACCAAAAAACAGGGAATATCTAATGGCCCAGGCTGCCACAGATTGAATAAACAATAAACATATATAATTCATAATAATATATTGTATAAATAATTAACTCTAGATCACTAAAATTAGTGCAGCAAAAATAAACAGAAGTATTAAAGATTATATATGCAACTACGGTTTTAATTTGGGTGGCTAATTTTTTTTATAATTTTGGTAAATGAGAATCATTTTTTAATTTATATCTGTACCTATTACGTGGAAGATCAATAAATATTTGTGGACTAGAAAAATATTTTGGAAAACTAAGCTCTCTTTGTTCCCATCTAACTGCGTCTATGCTAAAGGGTACTGTTATAGGTCTACTGAGATAAAATTTCATTGTTATTATTTTAACCATTGTTAGGTATATTATATAATAGTCGATATTTGACGCCGGCCGGTCGAAATTATCTTAATTTATTTTCATAAATTATGCCACGATAAATGCCATATAACTCAAATAATAAAAAAAATGTTTGTCTCTGATTGACTTTTGTTACAAAATTGTATTTTAAAATTATTATCAACATTGAAGTCCTGGTTAATTATAGTTTTAACTAGTCAAAATCAGTTTTGATGAAATCATTTGTGAAAATTAGTATTGGCTAGTTAAAACTAGTTTTGAAGAATTTTGGAATTTAACTGTAACTAACATATACACATTATGATACAGATATGTATGAAGTCTCTTTAGATGAAATTTTAAAAGAACTCGTGTGTCGTACTACAGAAATAAAATGTATTTTGAGAAGTTTAATTTCTTATGAACTTACAATTATTATTATTTATAAATATTATCTTAAAAATGAAAATATTAAAAACAGTGAACATTTATAAAACATATAGAAACAAATAATTAAAAAAAAATTAAGAAAAGTTGTTTTTCTATCACATACATATAAATAAAAATATAAATTATATATATATATACCTATATATAAAGCGTATAAACTTTATTTACCTTCCCTTTCCCTTAGATAAAATGACGACATGTCCCCAACGAAATAATATAAAATAATTATTATTTTGTCATGGTTTGATCCGCCCTCGCGGTCCAGAAATTGTTTTGACGTCCCTAGGGGTAAACTTGAGTTGAATCCGAGATATTTGATTGATTAAAATAAACACGAGTTGGGTCCATGTTATTATTCAATAATGCTTGATTTGGGTCCTCGGTGATATTTTATCTTAATGTTCTCTTAATTACCCAACTCAAGTTTTCCCATAACGACGAATCCGGACAGTTGTCACCGGATAACATATTATAACTTGCTATTACTCAGTAGAACGGTACATGTCAAAACTAGAAGTGTCCGTTGAATAAAATATAAAATAAAATAATTATAGTGGCCTTTTAGTGTTATTTTTAGTGTTAATATTGTATAAAACATAAAGTATGGATTTCATGTCAAGCGAAAAAGAGAAAAAAATTATCATTGAGAACGAATTTAAATTTCATTTCCACAAAATGTTGGTCGATTATATATAATGTTGGAAGTGTTTTTTAAATATGTGTAAGTATTTTTTTACACTATTTTCCACTTTATACATAATAGAGGAATGTAAATATGAGCATTATTACAAAAAATGTGATCGCAAGATTTCGATTGACGAAAATTGTGTAACTCGGCTAAGAAAAAAGAACAAGAAAATTTTTTTACACTTCATTTTTCTACACAACCTACAAAATTCGTTGGATCCAAAAAAAATTTTTAGCTTGGGTTATTAAAGGTGTATAAATGTAATAAATGTTCCGTTAATGATATAAGTGACTATTTTTAAGTGTGTTTTTAGTTTACCGTTTTTAAAACCAGAGGAAATATTTGATTATTTTATTGATGATTTAATAATCATTAAAAAAGTAAATTAAACTGTCGATAAATACGATTATTTTTTATAAACATATATTGAGCAAGATAGAGTATTTCCTTCTAATATTTGGACTGAGTTTACAGCAACCACAAATAGTTATGAAAGTTTTCATGCATAATTAAATGCCAGTTTTGGTACAGCTCACTCCAACATTTTTGTGTTATTAAAAAATTAACTTAAAATTCAGAGTGAAATTCACATTATTAATATACATTTACAATACAGCCAAGCAAAAAACAACTTTAAGAGAAAATATCGTTTGCTTTATCAGTGGAGAACTGATTCTGTTAACTCTTGTGAAATATTTGTGTTTTAAATTTCATCCTTAATTTAAACTGTATTATAAATAAATTATTGACGATAAAAGAAAAAAGAAAACATTTGAAGCTAAAATCAAGCTAATTTAATAATAATTTTATACATATAAATAAAAAAATTCTAATCAAATAGTAGTTTAAATATTTTAATAATATTCAAATCGTTACCTTTATATAACGGCCAACCTTCATTTGTGGTTTTCAGAGTAACGCTAATAGACTAAACCCAACTCATCAGTAGCAATATGCATGTACTCGAAAAAAAAATATTAAGATCCAACACATGTACGCGATAAATTATTTCTGGATCCAATCCATACTATTTTTGAAATTTGTGATACAACTCCAAGTTATCCATCCTTGGATGCTATACGACCAAACAATGTTCACAATCATTTTGTATATCAACAGTTTGTTTTTTAGATTAAGTTTGAATTTTAAAATAAGTCGAATGAGATGTGAAATCACGAGTTTCATTATTCTCTTGGTTCAATCATTCTTTGTCAGTCTTTTAATTACAACAGTTACGCCAAAGTACTAAATTAATTTAAATTTGGTTTGAAGTTATGATTGAAAACCAGTCGAGGGTGTTCTTTTTTATTTAGCGTTAAGTTTACTTTAATTAATTTAATTTAATTTTCGATTTTATATTACACAACGAAATTAAATTATTGTTCAAATATTGGTTAATATATTAATTAATACAATAGGTTGCAATAAGGAGAGCTTCACTGAAAGCTAGGATAGATGTATCGTCAGTGTATGTGGATTAAGTTGTATTCATAGTTATCGAAATGTTATAAGTGAATATAATACACAATAGTGATGAGAAGTTACATTGAGACTTCAGCAAAGGTATTTAATTGAAATGCTATTTTGTAAAAATACATTTACTTTTTAATCTAAGTGAAGTATTTATTGATTTTATCAAAATGTGCGGATTTTATTTTTCATATCCTTGCTAGAATCTGTAATTTTACATTTTCATTGCACTTAGAATCAATATGATTCATTTTAGTGTTTTTCTACATTAAAATGGAAAATGTCTGTATAATATTTTGATTATTTTGTTCGATTCAAATATTTTAGTATTATATTTATTAATTGGGACAGTTGTATAATACAATTAGTTAATTGTTAAATTCATTTAGTATAATTTTTAATTTATTATTTTCACTCAGTACTACTCAATCTTGTCTTAATTAATTCATACATCTATTTATTTTAATAAATATTATTATTATAAATATGTTCTTCGTGCCTATCAACACGATTTTGACCGGAAGGATACGGACGTATACTGAAAGGAAAAAAAATTCAAAATCCATTAAATAATTGCTACATTGAGATTATTTTTAATGGTAAATGATTTTTACTCACTATATTATTTTTATGTAATCATTTATTTTAGTTTTTCAATAAAATGTTGATATCTAAAGCTCTTAGAATCTTACCAGTAAGATATTATAACAATATAGAGTATAATATTTGTATATAAATTGTTCAAATTTAAATTTAATTATGTATTGTGACCAAAAAAAAATAAATATTCACTACAAAGGTCAACAATATAATATATTGTAGCATATCAATTTAACTATAGATGTTTATTTTTAGTAGTTTTAAAAATTATTGTAACAAAAAAACATATTGATTTCTAGCAATACTCTTCGGATTCGAGATTAAAAAATATCATACGACACTAATGATCTAATGCAATTCCAAATAAGACCATCAACATTCCGAGTACAATTAAATGAATAGTCACGACCACTTCCGGGACAATAATAATAGAATAATCGTGTATTTAAAAAAAATAAAAATAAAAATTACAGAGCACCAGTACCTTAATAACCATCAGAGAATGATGTTTACAAGTTTTCGATTTACAAGATCGTGACATATGCGTGGGTCATATTATACGCCCCCTTGAATCGATTCTGCTCCAGTTTCCCAAGAAGACATAGTTGAAATCATATTACATTTTGACGGGATGTGCACTTTTGTTCCTGAGAACGTCGAACTGAATACGACCCTTTCGGTCGACGAGGGAAAAGTAAATATATAATTGAATCAATCATACTAACTATTTATTAATTATTTTCAAACAATTTATCAGAATTTCAGCGAGGCATTAACAGTTTTATTTCGTGCCATCATAATTTTGATAACAATGTTCGAATATTATAGGATAAAGTTTAGCTTAGAATGTGGATGATCTATATCGACTTGAAAAAATTATAATAAAACATTAATAAACTCTAATTTTACTGTTTATTTTAGCATATTTATCTTTATTTTATCTTAAATCTAAAATATAAATTGTAGAGACTTTCGAAGAATGCAAATTTGTATTGCAACACTACATTCAACCATCATTTAATTGTTGATAACGTTCTCATATTATTTTAATCTTGGCATAGTAATATTTACTTCTAAGTGTGATAATCTTACACATCTTAATAATGTAATGATATCAACGTTTTTTTATCGAGGGCGTTTGAAATTTATTTCGCAGTCGATGATTAAATATATTTCGCAAATTGATAAATATCTATATACATATATACAAGGAATAGCTGACACTTTAAGCATTCCAAAAACCGTTGTGCGTCGTATTGTTACGGATGAATTGAACATGCGAAAGGTGTGTGCCAAACTGGTCCCCAAATTGTTGATGGACGAGCAAAAAGCCAATCGAATATCTGTGAGTTATTAGTAAGGGCGTATACAAGTTGGGTCTCAAATAATATTTATGATAAAGATAAACAACTAATTGGGTCCACTCTATCAATCAAGAGCTACAACTAGCCTCCTCACTAACAGAACTCGATTTCACTCCAAAAATCTACCCTCATTATTATACAAAAACAAACTCGAAATATCCTATCTAATACCAACAACACATTTACAAAACGCACCATGGAAATTTAATACTGCCCTAAACACTAACACTGAACTCTCTGTATTCAAAAAAATGTATACAATGCCCACCACTTGCAAACAAAATTTTACTTTGTAATAGCTCTATCATTTAAATTTTTACCAATTGTGTACATTTTTAAACATTTTATTCATTTATTTACCATATACCAGTATTCAAATTTTCAATTAATAATTATATACCATATATTAGGAACTGTAAAAAAAAATCATACCTGTATTCTTATTTATAGGTAACTGACAATCCTATGTCTGTAAAAATGAGAAGCGAATTTTTTTTTGTATGGACCCAACTAGTACATGCTGATTAGTAAATCACATCGTGGCATCGTTATCGCAGCTACCTTACGGTCTTGACCAAACTCCGGCCGACTTCTTTTTGTATCCGAGGATCAAAACCTCATTCGAAGGACACCATTTAGACAATATTGAAGCTATCCAAGCGTTGGTGACAACAGCTTTAAGTGAAGTTTCCATCGAGGCCTTCTAGAGAACGTACCGGATATAGGAAAGTCGGTAGAAAATTGTATAAATGCTTATGAACAATACTTTGAAAATTACTATCATAATGCATTGTTATGTCATCGATCACGATGTATCAGTATTGTAAATAAATATTTAAAAAAATATAAATTTCAAGACTTTTGCGATATATTCTGTATACATAAAACTATTATTTTATCGTTCGATTATATAATTGGAGTAATAGTTAATATATAGTTAATAGTTAATATACACACGATGCATGAGATTTTTATCGATAAACTTCTAGAAGTAATTCTTATCTACATGAAGGACAAAAAGGATAAGATGCAGGTAGGTTGAAACCAGCGAGTCGCTGTGCGCTCGTGTCGTGCAGCACAATACATGTTAGCGGTGAATAATTATTATCAATTAATTCATTAATTAATTCATTTATATTCAACATTATCTTATATCCTTTCTTATTGCACGGTGAAAGTGTTAGAACAGTGTTCTTCAACCATTTTAACATACACTTCATCTCCAACAAAATTTTCGCGGCACACCAGTCCATATAATATGTGAACAATATTTTATATATGTTTATATTTGGCTCTGTTTACAATCTACTATATCAGAAGGTTAATTACTATGAAATATTTAGTACAATCGATTGATGGAGACAGCTGCGACGGGAATATTTACAATAAATAATATTATATATTATGTAACTACGATAAGTTCTATCAGTTTTCATCGAATATCGATAATAATACTGATAAATGCGTACTAATAAAATAATTTATAGATTTATCGCAGCACACTTGAAGGACGCTCACGGTACATCGGTTGAAAACCACTGTATTAGAGGAACCACTAAGGTCAAGCTTATACGTTAAGTAGTTTATGAGGTATAGCGATCAGTGAGTGAGTGATATTTGGATTTTGTATATTTTATATTTATATTGTATATAAATAACAATAAATATATGTGCATATATATAGGTTTCTTTCGATGGTCTCCGGATTCATAATTTCTATAATTCCATACGACACTGCAATGGTCCATTTCGTGAAAATGTATTTACTTTATTTTGACATTTGTTATAATTTATATATAATATAACAATAAACGTTTTCAGGGCATAGCGAATCACCCCAAAAATAATAAATAGTGTTTATTTAACGTAGTGAGGTTTAACTAAAAAACAAAATGGAACACGTCGATGCAAAAATGGCAAGTATAAAAAAGTGCTTTTTTTAATAACTACTTAATAAATATTTTTACAAAATAATTTAAACAAAACAGACAAAATTGTTGTGTAATAAATTTTCAATATTTTATTTTTTTTATCTAAATATTATAATTTTTTTGATCCCATAGAAGGGTTAAAAAATTATAACTTCATCTTTACTATATATATATTCTGAATCGAAATCTTAATTTTCTCTATCCAAGATAATCAGATCTAGAGTTTAGTATCAATTAGAAATATCGATGCCAATTTTGTTTTTTTCAATTTTTTTATGAAAAATGAAATAGTAATGGTATCTTCTCAAAACGTTACGAATAATAAAACAATTATAAATACAATTATATTCAACTTCATTTACATTCGTGTAATAATATTTAAAAGCACTTAAATAAAATAAAAATATTATATAGTACTTCAGAAAAACAGAATTCGGCGAGAACTAATATTAATACGTAAAACCAACTATAGATTTTAGATACAATTGTTTATTCAACATTTTTCTTTATTTCAGAAATATCCGAAGTCCACATGGTTTTTAATTGTTTATAATTTATTCGAAAAATTTACCTTTTTTGGTTACAAAAGTAAAACAACTATCTAAATATTAAGATAAATTATTAGGAAATATCAAACAATTATTAATTATTTTTAAAATAATTTTCAGCTATTTTAGTGTTATATTTGATGAAAACATTGAACTTTAAAGACGATCAGACAATGATCATATACCATAGTTTTATATGTCTGACATTTATATGTCCATTGATCGGAGCAATCTTAGCAGACTCATTTTGGGGAAAATTCAAGTATTTTTTACATTTTTGAAAATTGAAATCGTTATTCGTAGTAATATTGTTATAATTGTTTTTTTTTTTTAGAACAATATATAGATTTTTAACAATATATATCTTAGGAGGCGTTACACTCACTGGTGCTTCAATAGTAGATATGTTTGGTAGCGACATTCAAAAGTTAGTAAGCCAAATGTGTGCTTAAAATATAAATAATATTTTCGAAACCTTTTCTATGATCGTCTTACAGTTTAACATAGTGGTCGATTTGTTTTGAAGGATTTATTTATTTTATATATTAAATATTAATTTTTTTGAGCATTATTTTTTTTAAATAACACTACTCTTTAACCACTAAGCTAATTATTTACAATAAAATTTATCTATTACCTTATATCCTATTATTATCTATTTATCTATTTAGAACATTAAATTTAAATAGCAAATAAGTAGTTATATCGATTGTTATTTTAACAATTACACATGATTACTAGGTATATTTCAATGATTGGGTTATTTTTAATATACATCAGTGCTGGCATCATAAAACCATCTGGTTTCACTTTTGCGGGTGATCAATTCCAATTCCCTCAACAGCAACAGCAGTTTCAACATTATATTATAAAATTCATAATGTCTTTGGAAATCGGTTCGGTATTATCGTCATTCCTGATGCCTGAATTAAGACACAGCGTACATTGTTTTGGAAAAAGCTCGTGTTTTCCTTTAGCATTTGGAGTATTAGTCTTGACAGAGTTAAGTGCACTAGGTAATATTTATTATTGAAACAAAAGGTAATTATCAATAGCAATATTTATATGGTTATTATTTATTGTCATGCTGTATTAAAAATAAAAGTTAAAACGCATTTTTTTATGAAAAATTTCATAAGTCTATTTTAACTAAAGTTATTAATAAGTTTTATAAATATTTGATAAAAATTAAATTTATTTAGAGAGAAAGCAACTTTCTACTACAAAGCTTAATATACATGATGTCCCAATAGGCATGCATACTTTTTATTTACCATACAAAATGTTGTTTATGAGTTAATAAATGGTAAACTTTCCTTGCCAGAATAACTAAGTAAAATAAATTTTAAAATTCCAACCTTTAATTTAGTACCTCATTATTCGAAAAATATTATCAAAAATAGTCCGGATTACCGCTTTTTAGAATCGTGTAATAGTGTACCTAACTTCGATTTCTTTTTTGATCTTCAGCTTAATTTAAAAAATCTAATAATGAAATTTAACTTTTATATTATATCCACTTATATTTTTCTTTTAATCATGTATTAGTATGATATCATTCAAAATTCTTTGTATATTTTTTGCTAACTTAAAAACTATACTCATCGTCCCTTTAGGGTGTTAAATACTTAAATAAAATTAAAAAAATCAATTTTATTCAAACGTGATTATCAGAAAGAAAAATATTATTGAATGATGTGTGTTTAAAATATTTTTCATATTTTTCTTGCGTTTCAAATAGCATTTTAACTCGAATTAATTATTTAAATGTTCATGATAAACATTATTCTTAACTTATGCTTTAATAATATAATACAAATAAAACAAAAGATGAATAATTAAAAAAAAAAAAAAAAAAAAAAAAACTGTTTACAGCTGCATTACTGTCGGGTGGAAACTTGTACGTGAAAAAGAAGCCGGAACGCAACGTCATCACGAGAACGTTCGGTTGCATATTCGTAAGTCATAAATGATCGCACGCATCCCGTGTTAATGTGACCCCGCATTGCAATTTGAGAAAACATTTACTCTTCGTTGTTTCAAGTACGCGTTGGGCAAAACGTTCACGTCGGGCACGTCGCGCGACAACGTCCGATTTCTCGACCGCGCCAAACCCGAGTACACGGACGAGGAGATAGCGGACACCAGGAGTGCCCTGAACGTGATCACCGTGTTCACGGCGTACCCGGTGTTTTGGGCGCTGAACGAACAACAGGTAGGTACCGGCGATCCATTCGAAACGCGATTTCGATTAGCAAACCTCTTCAACCATCTGAAATGAACGGAAAAACTAAGAAAATTACCGGTGATGATCCGTGCACGTCTAAATCAATTATCCGACTACGTTATGAACTACAATACATTACCACGTACGCGAACGCACGTGTCTGGCCGCGAAAAAGTGTGTAGCAACGACCGTGTGATCGACTTCTCTACGAGTAAACGTCTTATCGTGGTTTCCAACGTCCGATCGACGTGTGACAACGGTCGTTGCGTTTGGCGAATCATCGTAGTGCTCTGAAAGCAGTGCATTACAGTATTTCGCGTGCGTCGCATTGCGATTTTATTCTCAACGGATTTTTTTGTGTATTTTTATAAACGAATTCATTCAATCGAAAAACGTCGAAAACTCCGTTCGCTGCATATTACACACATCTATATGTGTATATTTGAAGCATACATTATTTCTTCTTCTTCCTCCTCGTCTAATAAATCTATGATTATTTGATTTTTATTTATAATCACGCGTTCCATTTTAAGTGATCTGTACCGGCAAAAAAAAATAAAATAAAAATACGCGTGTGCACAACGAAATATCGAGCTGAACTAAACTAAACTGAAAATAAACGCCATCCGCAGCATTCAGTCGTATTAAAGGAAACCAATACACGCGCAGACCATCAGCCGTTGCGTAAAATCGACTAGCCGCAACTCGAAACCGCACCTTAAGTGGACGCCATACCAGACAAAAACACATTACAAAAACGTGTTCACGCGTTTCAATAATACGGCTTATTGAGTGATTTTAGAGGAAAAAAACCCTATTATAAACATTTTAGAGAACATCATTTTGGAGATAATAACATAGCCTTTGTTAGAAATTGTGCCTAAGAAATAATTTACAGGCATTTGAAAAAATAAAAAAAAATAAATGGTTTTTTGTTTGTTTGTTCGTTGTTTACTTCTGCATACTGAATGTGTTAAAAAACACGTATGTCATTATCTCCAAAATATTATTTTCTACAACATTTATATGGGATTTTTTGCTTAAAAGTCAATTAGTAAGCCGTGTTTTTAAATCAAAAAACAAAAATTTTACTATAAAATTAAATTTTTAAAGCCGAAGTAACGTGGTTAGTGGCGTGACAAGCTATGTAACAAGTAACAGGCATCAAGCATGCTACTTTGTATCAAAAACAATTTAAGAAATAAGTTTAACGCCAAATAAACCGATACAACAGTGATATAACAAACGGCATGTTACGTTGGCGTCGTTCACATGCAGCACGTTCTGTTTTACGTCACGTGTTAAATTGTTCTAGTGACAGACACTTGGAAATTATTTTGATCTATTCATTATATTCATTTTTAAAAGTTTGAAAGTCTTAATTAAATTAAAATGAACGATGATTTTAGTATACATTCTGTTGGTATAGTTGAAACCAATCGATTTACTCATATCCATAGCATTTGGGACTACAGCGATTAAAACGCAATCGATAATACTTAGAAAAAGATTTTACGAATAACAATACATATTATATTAATTGTAATTCCACTCGGTTAACATTTTGTACAAAAGTATCATATTATTCAATTATTTTAATCAGTAAGATGATTAGGATAGCTCTGGATTGGCATGCAATCAATGATGAATCCAGGATTTTCTTTTGTAAGGGGGGGAGGATGAAAAATGTTTTCCCTTAGGATATTTTTTATAACATCATAGTCAGTGATTGATAATGAATTAAGATAATACTAAGTAATATAATACATTCATTTAAATCTAAGACTGCTAATTTCTTGTATGAATAAAAATACAAGTTATATACTTTAAAGAAAAAAATACTTTTCTTAATTCATAAAATTATTGATTTTTAATAAATGTTTTACCTGATTCGTGGGGGAAAATTACCCCCTCCCCCTTGTGGATCTGCTATTGCATTTTCCACATCAAAAACACTACGTTTAATTTGTCGATTTTTTTTTTTTTTCCAATACGAATGAACCCAATACCGTCTTTTTTTATTATTCGCGTCATTGACATCGATTAATTAACCAAGGCCATAACATTTCTATCATCGAAAGAAGAAGAAGACATATATTGGCTACTGGTACTACTAGTTACTGTATGGTTGTACTGTTGTACTGTTTGTACTATGACGTTGTGTCACACCGCACGAGATTTTGTTTTTACCCGTATGCTACATCACTTGTCACACCACACGTCACATTACTTTGATGGGCGCTCGGCATGACGTAAATTATTGATATTTATACTGTACGTAAATATATGAAATTTAGGATATCATGAATGTTTATGAATGAATGAAAAATCTGCACTTGACGCGTTATTTGTTTGTACATGTATGTACTACTTATTTTTATTTATTTATTTATTTTTTTTTTTTTTTGTGTCCGTAAGCCGTGTATGTTAACCAGGGATGTTATTTACGTACTTCGTTTAACATTTTATCTTCCGAGCCTCGAGAAATATTCCCTGTTTAATAGTGCATTCGAAAATAATTTTCAAAAAAATGCATATACTAATAGATGTTTATTGAAAAATAGTATGGTATAAAACCATACTATGCTCTATCGGAAGATGACTATATTTATTCTCGTTCATTATTATTCTAATGCTGACTGAATCTACGAACTATCACGTTTACTTTACGCATTAACTTTCGGGAACCGTCAGCTCTATAAATAATCTAATTGAAAACCCGTTGTTTATAGACTTCACGATGGACGTTGCAGGCCACGTTGATGAACGGTCGTTTCGACTTCATGAATTGGACAATCAAACCCGATCAGTTCCATACCATCTCTCCAATGTGTGAACTGATATTCCTCATACTGTTCGACGGCACGCTTAACCCGTTGCTTGCAAAGATTGGTATACGAAAATCCTTACAGAAAATCACATTGAGCGGTTTTTTAGCGACCATGGCGTTTATTGCTGCTGCTCTACTGGAATTCAGAATTCTAGTAAATCCTTTAACATTTGATGTGCAATAAAATTATTAGTCACCATCGATGCTCGGGTGATAATGGAATTTTTTATTTTTTATTTTTTTTGTTTAAGGGTATCAGTACTGTTATACCTGCTGGGGAAGGACGTCTTAATATTTACAACGGGTACGATTGCGACGTACATGCACGTTCGCTATCATTAAACGTTGATCGTATTATACAACCCCTTGGAATGATGAACGTTAACTATGCGCTTGTTTCTCGAGAAGACGTCTTTGAAATCATTTTAAAATTCGATCGGGAATGTACTTTTGTTCCCGAGAATTTCGAGTTGAATACGACTGTCACAGTTTCCGAGGGGAAAGTAAGTAGATTATTTTCATTGAACTAATAAAACCGATTAACTTCAAGCAAATTTTATCAAACGAAATTTTATTGAAACATTAGCAACTAATCAATCATTTAATTTAATAAATAAGATGTCAAAAATAATGAAGTTCAATAGTTTAAATTCAATTTAGCACAAAATGCGAAATTCAGATTTCAAAATTCAAAAATCCCAAATCCAAATATTGTAGTTTGGTATTCAAAAATCCTCATTTTATAGGTTTTCTGAGAATTCGGATTTATACATCACACTAACAAATCATTTTTAACCATTTCAAACCATAATTTAACTGGTGATAACGTTCTCATATTATTTTAATCCGTATGATAAAAAATAGCTAAAAGTTTGATAATCTTATAATATACTTGTAATATAATATAATATACGTATAAGTATACGTCTTAACACTGTTATGACATTAATGTTTATTTTATCTAAGACGTTTTAAATTTATTATTTTAGGAAATATCATATTACTTGACACGATTAAATACAAGCACAATCACATTAAACCGAGTTGGTGATTACGATAATTATAAACAAAACAAACAAGGAAATCCAAGCTTGAGGTTAATATACAAATTATTATTTTTTATTAATTATAAATCTATAATGTTAAATATTTAAATATTTAATTATTTAGGGTTTTGATTGACGATAGTTTTGGTTTCAACGATAATATTTCATTAATCAGTAGCAATGAAAATCGAAATTCATATTCGTTTTCTCCATCCCAACGAATGCATTTCAATGAAGTACATATAGGAAAGTAAGTATATAATTTTAAGTACTTCTTATTAGTATTTTATTTCTTATGCATACATAAACATAAATGTGATAGATATAATTTATGGCAGAATGGACAAATGACACCCACGTCCATGGAAATGATTCCGGCTACATTTTACACAATCACTTTACAAAAAAATGGCAACAGAACGGTAATTTATCTCTCAAATGCATTAAATATATTTTGTAACATAAAAAATTAGATTAAACGATGACTTTTGTATAGGATATTAAGCTTTTTAGCAAATACAAAGGCAACTATTTACATATATTTTGGCAATTTCCACAATATTTTTTTATGATCTCAAGTATTACGATTTTTGCAGTCACCAGATTAGATTTTACATTTACCGAGGTATTTATGTATACTTATATCTGTTTTATCTTATACCCACATTCTTTAAGCAAAATTTCAGTCAAGATGAATTTATACTCATAATATCTAAACATTTATAAACATCTAATACCATATGATTATTATTGTTTTTTCCATAGGCTCCGATAAATTTAAAGACTTTCATGTATTCATTTGACTTATTAACCATGGCGGGTGGAAATTTGTTGGTTGTTATAATATCAACTATATCAATTAAAAATCAAGTAAACTTTTTTTTTTTTATAATAGAATGTGTAGGTATTTATATGTTGTTATAATTTTATTTTATACAATTTAGGCATTTGAATACCTTTTATATTCCGGACTTATGTGCGCTGATTCGTTGATATTAGCTTATTTCAGTGTTGCCTTTCAGAGTACCAATAGTGCAACAACAAAAACAAAAAATGAAAATATAAACTCCCTGAACGAAGCCGAAGTCAATAGTATATTGTGATAAGATTTTATTGAAAAACAATTTTATCGATTTAAATTTAACATGATGAAATGCAAGAAATAAATATTTATATAAAAATACACAATTCAGTTAATAATATTGAATAAATTGAAAAACAATATCTAAATGTTAGTTTGATTTATTTTACAAATCATTTTTAACATATTATTCAATTAATACTTCAGGTATATTCACTGTATATTTGTTGTCATTGAATATTTTGTTTAAAATTATTTTTATAATTTTGATTGGATAAAATGTCTTGAAATTTTAACATAATTTTATCACACAATATTTTAATTTATGTAAAAGAATATTAAAAACCTTGGGTCATAGTTTTTTTTTAGTTCTATAAATTTAAAATGTTGAGAAAACTCAACACAAAACACGAAAAACTGTAATATTTTTGCTATAAAAAAATGAATAATACTATTGATTTTAATATTTAATATTAAAAAATTTAATATATATTAATGTGTGTGTTTTTGGGAGAATACATTACAATTTTTTTTTTTACTAACAGCGTTGTCTACTTCGTGTCTTGATGTTTTTATGTTCGTATCTTTTGTTATTAAAGATTTATTAACCATAGCAGTTGGTAACTTGTTAGTTATTATCATATTCGCTATATCAATTGAAAATGAAGTAGGTAACTATATTTATTATATTAAATATAAAAGTATAAACTTAAAATTTTAATTTTTATAATTTAGGCATATGAATATCTTCATTATTCTGATCTCATGTGTGCTGATACGTTTTTAATAACCTATTTTAGTGTTGTCTTTCGAAGTAGATAGCTTTAGTATAATAATACTATCAAAAAAATAGAATTCAACACTTGCCCAGGACGAGACAGAAATATAAATTTTTTTTTTAATAACTTTTTGATAAAAACAATGTTGTCAATGTTTCAACTTAATCAAATCTGTAAATTTAATTCATAGAAATATACACGATTCTGTAAATAATATTGAATACATTCAATGATATGTTGTAAATAATGTAATAAGTTTTTTGCACATATAGAGTGACCATTAGATGAATCACTACTCCACTTTTCAAATTCGTACATTATTGAGAAATAACATTCAGTGAGTAAGTGGTACATGACTTATATATGTACCTTTATATGTATGTATATATATATATATGTATGTATGTATGTATGTATATATACATATTACGGTTGTAATGTAGTGCCCGGATATTGTATACAATGTCTAAAATATTTGAGCAAAATAAGTAATACATATTTTATTCCCATACAGACTAGTCTTTGTATCCAACTAAAACCTAAACCGGTGTGGGTGACGTGAATATAAGAGTTATTTTATAGTATTTTACTAAAAATGTATTTTTGGCACTGCGTCTTACGGGTTACGATAACTTTTATCAGTAGTGATTAGTATTAGGGCTGGTACCGAATTAGTTCCCAAGCCCCAACCCCACATGCCGAATTGTTTCCCGTTTTAAAAAGGTATTTTATCAAGTTGAGCCGAATTGGCTCTTGTTTAAATTTGCACAATTTGCTTCTCAATTTTACAGGCTTAAGATTTTTTCACATAAACAATTTCCATTCAACTTCACGTAAGCTTTACAGTTCTGTATTGTAGATATCCACCTGTGTATGTTATCCTCTGCAAGGTTGTTTTGGAATCCGAACTTGTAATTGACAATAATCAACAACTTAATTCCCTTTCAAGTAAACATAAACTCCATAATAACGAACAATTATAAAAAAAAAAAAAATTGTAAATTAAAATACGATGAGCGAAAATAAATGTATATAAATTACAATGTTAAACATGTTTTTGTCACCGGCTAATGACTTTAATGTTGAAGCTGTATCATTAATATATAAAAAAAAAAAAAAATTACTATGTGTTATTCGAGACTGTACACTGTACAGTGTTCACTAACATCATTGTCATACCCATACGGCGATATAAGTGCCAATATATCAATTGTTATTTTAATCCATCGGGGTATCAGCAATACTTTCCTAACCCTCCAATGCAACAATCTATTGCCATTTCATTGCGTATAGACTATAGAATAAGTACATTTATATTTTATACTATCTAATTTTTATTTTGTACAAAACATATTTGTAAAACCTACCAATGATTAAAAATTAAAAACTAAAATTGTAACTATTTAACCTGAAAATGAACTGGAACCAATTTTCCTCAACCTGACAAAATACCTTTTTTAAACGGAAACCGATTCCGTTCAACTTATCGAAATACTTTTTTCAGACAGGAACAATTCGGCCAAACGGGAACCAATTCGGTTACTCCCAGTATAAGTATAAGTAGATAATCAGGAACTTGTGGGCGTTTTCGACATGCATAGCTATTCGTCGTCCATCAATAACGAACAATTTTTATCGAAATTATTATTTTCTTGAGACTTTATGCAAACATATTTACTCGTATCATAGCCGACAGTGCACATACTACATTTACACATACTACCGTTTACATGTGCTGTTTAGTACTATGTTATAATTGTGTAGTATTTGTGTGTGTTGTTTTTAAAATGGAAAATACATTTATTTATCGTTTAAATAATATTTTAATTTATGTAAAAAAATAGCCTAACCTAACCTATAGGTATATGGTCATAATTTTTTTTTTTTTTTTGTTCTATAAATTTAAAACTTCGAGAAAACACAAATCACGAAAAACTGCAACATTTTTGCTATAAAAAAAATGAATAACACTATTGATTTTACTATCGATTTAAAAATTGAATATATATTAATGCGTGTATTTTTGGGAGAATACGTTACATTTCTTTTTTTTTACCAACTTAGTGTTGTCTACTTTGTGTCGTCAATTTTGTATAATATGATGATTATGGTATTTTAGATAGCGGTGGTTATGTAACGATGATGAAATAAACGCTTCTAAAATGTTCGTTCTAACTATCTAAAATATTCCGTATGCATGGTTTTCAATACTGGAAATTGGTTTTCTGACCGATTTTATATTAAATCATAGAAATGAGCCTCTCACGAAAGATACATGTTTTTCTGATTAGAGAAGAAAATATTAAGTGTTGCACCACGTTTATACCTAATAAATAGGTACTTTGATTTTTTTTTTTGTTTGTTAATTAAAATGTTGAACATCCAGTCAAATAAAATTTTTATTACTGACTATTATTTATATGCATGAGAGTATTATATTTTGATGAAATTCTTTGAGTTCTATGAACAAGAATATCCATATGAAATTTGATTTAATTATATTAAGTTTTTTTTAAGTTTCTTAAAATATGAATATTTCAATCTTTTTAGTAGGAACTTGAAATAAAAACAACCTATAACGGTTTCAACTTGTTTGTTTTATTATTCTTGGGTATGGCAACAAAGTAAAGTAAAGAACAAAGTAACAAAGTAAAATTTTGGTATAGATAACAAATCTATTCAGTTGCTTTACCACTATTTTTTTTCTTTATAATGCGTGAGTATAAATCACTTGCTCTTACTAGTTGATCAATCATATTGTGAAATGGTATAGAGTATAAAATATGCCTGTTATATGTTTGAATTTAAATGCATTATGTATTCCATTAAAAAACAAGTTTGTAAGAGGTCAACAGTGTAATATATTCGAACTACTATACTGAATATCTCTTCACAAGATTATTTTAGATTTCTAACTTAAGTCCATCAAGACGTAAAATAAATGCATATAAATGCATTTATTAAAAACGTAAAACAAAAAATTAGGTACTAACATATATCAACATTTTAAATTAAATTTGTTTGTTACAAATCCTTATAAGTTAAAAAAATGAAAATTTTGAAAATTTAGCAATATTTTTAACTGTATTTGAATTAAGTTTATAAATAGGTTTGTACATTTTAGTATATAAAAATGCAAATTTTAAGTAAGAAAGAACTTAGAAAATCTTATTTTTGTATTTTATTTACATTTATAAGTATTTTCAGTTATAACATATCAGATATTTATTAGTATTTAAATGATTACAGAAAAAATCATAAAATTATTTTACCCACATATTATAGATATTTTTATACATTTATTAACTTCACATTATTAATTTTTAACTGATTCAAATATTTGTTTATAATGTTTTTTTAGGTCCAAATTGAGTTTCTAATCAATTAACAAAAACATAAATAAACTGGAAATATAATAATCTTGATGAATTGAAGGTGATTTTATTTTTACAGACTTAAGTTTAACCCACTCAGCCGTTTTTATTTTTTTTTTTTTGTATTATAGATAATAGATTATTGGTATATGGAGGGGAGGTGAGTGAAACCCGTTTGGTTATAAATCTAACAATTCGGTTTATAAGAATCTTAGTTATTAACAAAAATGATCACGAATAAAAATATTTTATTCTCTTGCAGTACTCTATAGATTCATGATTCCAAAATAAACAAATGACAATGCAGTGATTGATTTCATGAAATAAATATTTAATTTTTATATGTTTAATATACTATAAATTACATCCAGTTCATTTTTGCAGCATATAGTGAAAACTCAATAATATTGTCAAATAGTGAATAACTTTTTAATATTGTATTTTTCAACTGAAAGTCAAAATGGAATTATTGGTTGATGAGAAACTGGCAAGTATAAATAATTGTGCATTATTATTTTATTTGCTATCCTTTATATTATTTTTATAATTTTAACATTTACCGACTTAAAAAAATCACACTTTTTAAAATTAAATATTACTTTGATATTTTTTTTTTTTTTTTATGGCTTACGTTTTAAATATTATCATTTTATCTTTATTATAAAAAAAATGTTTATCCATATAATGTTGTTTCATACACAATATGATATTTAAAATAATACAATACATATATTATTAATTTATTAAGTTAATCATCAATTAATATTAGCTTGTGTATTTAACCACATCATGGACACGATTTATAATACTAATGTCGGTATTTTTATTTAAATAATTTTGTAAAACTAATTCTTCATTTATTTTTACTTGAATTAAAAATAATAATAAAATAAAAAATACATTTTTATTGAATATTTATTGTTACAGAAATATCCGAAGTCCACGTGGTTGATCATTTTCTTTCAGTTTTGTGAAAGATATAGTTATTTCGGGTTTAGAAGTAAAACAATTATCTAAATAAAAAGATAAATTAACATAATCATTGACATATTATTATTTTTATAATTTATTTTCAGCTTTTCTAGTGTTATATCTAACAACAGTACTAAAATTTACTGGTGACCATTCGATGATCATATATCATAGTTTTATTAGTCTAGTGTATATATCTCCGTTGATCGGAGCAATGCTGGCAGATTCATTTTGGGGAAAATTTAAGTAATATTATTTATATTTTATGTTATAATTTAATTTATCTATTTTTATTGTATTATTAATACGATTTATTTTAGAACAATAATTCGACTATCAGCAATTTATGCCCTAGGAGGTGTTATACTTGCCGGTGCTTCGATGATAGATATGATTAATATAGATATTCAAAAGTTAGTAAGACAAATGTGTACTTAAAATATAAATATTTTCCGAAACGTTTCCTCTAATCGTTTTTACATTTTGACTTAGTGTTCGTTTTGGTCTTAGGGTCTTACGAATGTTTACATAATTCAAATAGTTTCTTTGGTAATAGAGTTCAATTCAAAATGTGTACCATAAAACATTATATTTTATGTTAAATATTAAGATAATGACACTATTCTTATTATAGTATGAAACATTTGAGTTATTACTGCTTCATGACACCTTCCAAAAGGATATTAAAAGTGGTCCCAGTGTCTAGAATATTCGTTTTCATAAAAAATTCAACAGAAAACATTTGACATTCGTTTTAATAATTAACTATTATTACTAGAATTATTGCAGTTCTTGGGTTATTCTTAATATCTATCGGTGCTGGTGGTATAAGACCTCTTTGTATTACATTTGCCGGCGATCAATTCAAATTTCCCCAACAGCAGCAGCAATTTCAACATTATATTATAAGATACATATTGGCTTTAGACATCGGTGCATTATTATCGTCAATATTGACACCGAAATTTAAACACGGCGTACATTGTTTTGAGAAAAACTCGTGTTATCCTTTAACATTTGGAGTGTCTGCCTTAGTGATAATAATCGCCGTAGGTAATTATCAATCAATCAAATAATTTTTAATAATAATTGTAACAAAAATAACTTATATTGATTCTCGATGAACGAAAAAATAATTGTATTTATTAATTTATTATTATTTTATGATAAATTAATTATTGTATTATAGTATAATAGGAGTTATAAAACCATGATATCTTAATTAAAAACTTAAACTTCGTTAGTTTACCTATTTCAACCAATTGCGTCTTTATAGTGAAAACATTTTACACCCTTGGGCTATTTAAAATTTGCTAACACTACCTTATCCTCTGTAATTTCATCTTTATAAAATATGGAAGTATTTATTTCTTGTTTAATCTTAATATAACAAATAATTGTACTGCTGATAAGAGATATAAATAGCTTAGCTTAAAGGTAGATGAATAATACATTACACTAAATAAGCCTGTTGTGTACATTTAATTATATTATTATTTTAATAAACTATCAACTATTAACTACACTGTTAACGTGCACAATATTATACTGACGAAAATCCGGCGTGCTATAGTTATGATAACATTTTTTTGGAGATTGGGTTCTCTTGAAACTCCCAATTAACTTATTATATTTATAAATAAATTCACCACTACAACAATTATTTGTTTTCTTTCACTGTAAAAAAACCAAATCGTGATTTTCATAAATATTCATGACAATAAAATATATAATAATAAATAAAATAATAAAATAATGTATATAATACAATATGTATGACAATAAAATGTATACAACGATAACGCAACAGTCTATTATTGCCATACGATTCGGTATTTATACTTATTATACTTTTGTACACGTATTATATAAAATTTCCATACATATAATAGATTACAAAAGAACCGTCTACAACGTAAATCTGTCCCATAGAATAGAATAGTTCTAGGATTTAAATAAATCTATTTAATAATATATACAATTTATCGGTTATCTTATTGGGTAGTGCGATGAAAAATAAAAAGGTTTTGTAAGTCATATCAAATATGTTTACAGTTACATTTATATTCGGTGAAAAGATGTTCGTAAAAAATGACACGGAACACAAAGCATTCTCAAGAACGTTTGGATGCATATACGTAAATCATATTTTTCGCGTTATATCCGTAATGTGTATTGTACTCAAAAAAATGTTCTTGTTTCAAGTACATATTAACCAAAAGAATTACCCCGGGAATATCAATTAACGGGCTCGACCACACTAAAGACAACAAGTACACCGACGACGAGATAATGGATTCGAGGTTGGCTTTAAACGTGATTACCGTGTTCACGACGTATCCGGTGTTCTGGGCGTTGTACGAATATCAGGTACGTATACACTGATTAACATGGATTTTTCGGGTAATCGAACGCAAATCCATTGTGCACAGATATCGCGGTGGAAGCTGCAGGCTACGCTGATGAACGGCCGTTTAGACTTCTTGAATTGGGCAATCAATCCCGATCAGATGCATACCATCACTCCGTTTTGCGCACTGCTATTTCTCATACGGTTTTACGGTACACTAAACCCGCTGTTGACGAAAATCGGCATCCGAAAACCATTGCAGAAGCTCACATTGAGCGGTTGTTTAGCGACCGTGGCGTTTATTTTCTCGGCTATGCTTCAATTCGAAATTCTCGTAAGACCGTCTGCTAAACTTTTTTCTCTTCGCAATTATTACATCTGGGAAATTTGTTTTATTATCGCACTAGTCAACATACCGTGTACATTAAAATAATTAGTCACGGTCGATACCAGGACCATAGTAATGGAATAAAACGAATTTTTTTTTTTCAAGGGTAACAGCAATATTATCCCTGCCGGAGAAGGACGCCTTAATATTTACAACGGATTCGACTGCGACGTACACGCTCGTCTGCCGACATTAAACATCGACCATACCATACAACCCCTTGGAATGATGAACGTTAACTATGCGCTAGTTTCTCGAGAAGACATCGTTGAAATCGTATTACATTTCGACCGGGAGTGCACTTTTGTTCCCGACGCTTTCGAATTGAATACTACCGTCACGGTTGCCGACAGACGGGTAAATACTTGTACATTAAGTTCTATTAAAACTAATTAATTTCAACAACTAAAAAACGGTATTTTATAGAGGCAATACCAGTTTCCCATTAAAACGTCGTATCATCGTTGAAAAGGTTTTTTTTTTATTGATCTATTTGTGTAATGATTTTGAAACCCGCAGAGAATCAAAAGTACAGCTTGTTTTACCTAAGATACAAAATTCGTTTACATATGGCTAACATATCTAATGATACATACTAATATTTCCCAAACACTGCAACGCACCCTTCAGGAATCACGGCCCATATAGTATTTATTTACTTTGTATATTGCTCCTTGTATTCTTCTAAATTCCTTGTAGTATTCAGTACATCTAGACATCGTGATTATAATTGGTTTCCAAAAAATTTAACTGGTAAAAAGTTTCGAAATCACTGGTATATACAGTAATATAAAATACAATTTATCAAATTTAAAATGAATTAAATTAAAAATATTTTTGTTTTATCTTATTATTAATAGAACAATCAAAATTATTTTATACGATTTAAAGAAATAGTACATCGGGCTGCTCTTAATTTAATTTTTCGTTTGAGGTTTTACATATATAGCATGAAAATATTAAGTGTTAACTTGCCATAGGTACATCATGTGAAATATTTTATAATTATTCTGAAAATTAGTGTATCCATGTAAAAAAAAATATACAACGATAAAATTACGTTAATATATGTATGAAATCATATTACTCCGATGCTCAACCTCGGAAATAGGAGGACCAAGCAAATTCAGTTTCTTATAATAATAAAATATTTGACAACATTTGAATAATCCAACACACCTTCAAAGTTTAATACTATTGTTATTATTATTTAGATTAACTGTAATTTTTTTTTTTTTTTATCCTTAACGGTTAAAATTATGTAAACAATATAGTAATTAGAAACAAAATATTGCAGGAGATTTCATATTACCTGACACGTTTAAACACAAATACGATTGGATTAAACCGTGTAGGTAATTATGACAATTATGTAAAAAACAAACGTGGCAATCCTAGCTTGAGGTGATTATACAAATTACTTTATACATGTTTTACATTTGTATTAAAAATATTTTATTTTAAGGGTTCTGGTCGATGGTAGTATTGGTTTTGACAGTCATATTTCATTTAACAGTAGTAATGGAAATTCATACTCGTTTCCTTCATCCCAACGAATGTATTTTAATGAAGTAGCTATGGGAAAGTGAGAGTCTAATTATCAATAATTATTATGCGTAATTATTTTCTAAGTATTGTAAAACAAAATCCATTTGATAGATACAATTTATATTGGAATGAACAAATGTTGCCCTCGTCTATGCAAATGATCCCGGCGACATTTTACACAGTCACTTTACAAAATAACGGCGATAAAACGGTAATGCTATGAAATAAGTTATCTGACAACTACAATTGAAGTTTTATGTATGATCAAACAATGAATACATGATGAAATTCGTATAGGATGTAAAAGTTTTTACCAAATATGAAGGCGCTTATTTCCACGTGCTTTGGCAGCTTCCACAATATGTCTTCATGATTTTAGCTGTTGTGATTTTTGCAGTCACCACTTTAGAATTTTCATTTTTTTGAGGTATTTATGTATACTTACATTTATTTTATCAAGTTTTTATATTTTATAACGTTTTTTTTAGTCAAAACTTAATTCAAAACGGATTTGTATTCATACCTATTTTTTATTGGTTTTGAGGCTCCAATAAATTTGAAGACGTTTGTATTTGCATTCGATTTATTAACCATAGCAGTTGGTAACTTGTTAGTTATTATCATATCAGCTATATCAATTGAAAATCAGGTAACGAAGTATATTTATTATATTAAATATGAAAACTATAAATTAAAAATGTTTATTTTTATAATTTAGGCATATGAATATCTTCTTTATTCTAGTCTCATGTGTGCTGATACGTTTTTAATAGCCTATTTTAGTGTTGTCTTTCGAAGTAGATATCATTAGTATAATAATACTAGCAAAAAATAGAATTGAACACTTGCCCAGGACGAGACAGAAATATAAACTCTTTGTAATAGCTTTTTGATAAAAACAATGTTGTCAATGTTTCAACTTGATCAAATTTGTGAATTTAATTCATATAAATATATACGATTTTATAAATAATATTGAATAAATTTAATGATATATTCTGAATAATGTAATTAGTTTTTTTTCACAAATAGAGTAAGTAACTATTACATTAATCACTATTTCAAATTTCAAGTTTGTACGTTATTGAAAAATAACATTGAGTGACTGAGTGGTGCATGATATTATCTAACTGGATAAATCAGTCTTTGTAATACAGTGCCCGGACATACAATGTCTAAAATATTTGGCGAAGTAAGTAATACATATTTATTTCCCATACATACTAGTATTTTTATACAATGCTAAAACTGGTGTGGGCAACCTGAATATAAGAATTATGTTATAGTGTATTTTATGTGGCTAATTTTCATTGAATACATCACTTATAACACTATGATCTCTTTTCTTTCCTTTAGTTAAACTTGATAGTATTGATCATGTTCTTCTTACAAAAAGTAAGATCGATCCTATAATGTTAAATAAAAAATATGTATTTAATTAGTTTAAATTTAAATTTCAGTAAAAATAATGGCTTGTAAGAAATTAAAAGTATAATATATTATAATATAAAATTTAATGTTAAAATATTTCATTTTAATTTTTCTTATTATTAGAACATTCATGAGTGATATACCAATAATAAACTGAGTATATTTTCATAAAAATATGCTAATTTTCTAATCTATTTCTGGTTTTATAATGTTGAATAATATTATGTCCGTATCAGACAGGAAAGGATTGAGAAATCATTCACGAGATGGTGGGGGTATAGTCGTAAATATACAAATAGAATGTATGTATTGTAAGTTGTAGCTTTAGGAACAAAGTCAAATTTTATAATAGTTAAGGGAATAAAAAAACATAATATCATGTTATTACAAATTAATAGCATACTTTATTTGAATATTAATAAATAAATAAAAGTTTAGTCTGGAGTATCATTACATTTTGTAATGTAAGACCAGTTTCGAAATCATCAGATATACAACTTAATAAAATTCCAACTGAATAAGAAATAATAAAATCGCAACATTTTTTGTTTTTTCAAATCCTTTGAACTCATAATTGTTTGGTTATTAGTTTGGACTAATATTTTTATAATTTTTATGGATAACTTTACCATAAACATTTTGTCACATTTTATCGACAACAATGTTTTTTGTTCTATTTCTTGGTCTGGATCGGATTTATGTATAACGATCGCACGACGGAAGGACTCTTTTTCATTCGGCCGTCGCCTGGGCCCGTTGCTCCGGCAAAATCGGCTTTGAATTTCGTCTGCACTCCTTTCCGTCGTTTTTGAACGAAAGTGCTTCAATTCAGACCGTGTGGATATCGTCCTCGTTGCTAATAGGGTTCGAACATTTTTCCCGGCCGCCCAACGTGTTCGGTCCGTTCCGTTTCCAGGCCACCAGAACTACCAGTTGGCAGTGTTTTTAAATATTTATCGATTTCGACGCAATATGTTATACCAAAGTGAAACTTATTCGATCACTAAGCCGTTGTGCGACTATTTGAAGTAAAAGCGTTGTTTGATCGTGAAAAATGTGTGTGCAAAATAATCCTATTGCATTATAGCGAAGAAACTCGTGACCAAATTTACCGCGAAATGGCTCCTCGACTAACATTTGCTTTATTTTTGTACATCACTGTGCCTACAATTTTGATGACTAGTGCAAAAGTATTTTTGAGACCCTTTAAGGTGCATTCGCAGTAGTTGCGTAGAACCATGTAATGTACCACCGTCGGCTCACTCACAACCGTCTGCATGCAATCATTATTCGAAAAACAAATTAATAATTTTTCAAGTACGTAATTGACGAATATAAAAGTTCTTATCTGGAGCATTGATGATGTGTAATATTTGACACCAGTTTTGTCTGATAAAAAATTGTTAAACATAAAAATTAAATTTAAATGTTAAGGAGGTACCATTTACATTTTTACATTAAGGAAATTTAGTTTAGCAAAATTAAAGTTATAGGAAAACCATTGATTATAAATATTATTAATTATAAGTATGTATAAAGAATAATAAAAATCGTTGTTAAAAAAAAAAAAAAAAATCGGTATAAAACTAAGATTTTATTAATAGTTTCTTGGTACTTTAATTTTAATAAAAAAATAAATTGGCTACATATCTTATTTTTAAAATAGGTTCGTACATTTATGATATTACAAGCTAAATTATTCAATTTCTCCCGGGAGATAATTTGCTATTTTAGACCAGAAAACGCATTATTTCTTGAAAATGTTCAACATATAAAATTGAAAAATGCGTACAAACAACGTATTACTATGATTGTTAAAACAAAACATTTTATTTCTTAAATTTTTATTTTTTATTCATACTTATCGCATGCTTAAATAATACATGAGCGAATAATGTGCTGTTAGTAAACATGACAGTTCAGTGATTCTTATAGAAAACACTGAAAATCCATATTTAATAGCATATTCATATATACATGCACTGAATATTTTAATAGAGAATTAGAAGTGTATAAATCTGAATTCCGTTAGTTATTTTTTGAGTCTCAACGAAAAAAAATCGGTTTTATCAAAAACTGGTGTACTGCAAATTTCCTACTTTTTGACGTTTAGATTAAGATTAAAATAACTATTGGGAAATTTATAAAAGGACGATTCAAAATACGATTTGTAAAACTAGTGATTAATATGACAATAATATAGAATTTTTAGGTTATTTTAAAATTATTAATTTTCCCCATATAAAACACATTATAAAAATAAATATCAACCTCCAAATATTTTAAATAATCAAACACGTATATCTAAAATACATTTCGTAAAAATGAATGTATACATAAGTAAATAGTATATATAGAAAAATGAATCAATACGTAGTCTGGAGTATTACGATTTGTATACTGTACAACTAATTTCGAAATAAAAATTCATCATCAGGTAATCCACAAAATCTAAAATTCGCGATTAAGACTAGGTTTACGTATTTATTTATAAATAATATAATTTATTTATACATATCTCCTATACATTGTTCACATATTTAACGATATCCTAGTACGTTTTTGTGTGTCAAATCTACCTGTCATTCAGGCCATTGTTCATAATCCAATATTCGGGTGTACTCGTAAATACTTAATAACAATATTTTATAATTTAAGGCCATAAACATCATGTGTTACTTATTTGATAAATATAAATTTTACGAGATAGACGAGTCCTTGCAATCCCGCACCAGGACTATAAATATTAATTATTATACTGTGTCTGCGCACATTTTCAGCGCACGACCATTTTTTTTTTCAACTAAATAAAATATATTAATAACGTTCAATCGTCAGTGGTCTTAGAAGTTGGTCCGTAGTCGAGATACACGGTATCCAAAAGTTGTTGCCCTGAGTAACCGCAAACCACGTCAGCATCTCTAATCAGTCTTATAATTACTTTGGGTTTTTTTTTTTTTTTTTTATATATATATCTTATGCCAAAAAGTTTAGCCTAGTACAACGTACGTAAGTATAATAGATCACAAAGAATGGTGTAGAGAATAAAAAAATTTGACGGCTTTTCTCGAGGTCGTTTTACAAAAAAAAACAACAAACAACTTAGTGAGCTAAATTTTTCCCGAATGAAAGGGATTTTCGTCTACATAAACCTCATTCGTTAGAATACATTGGTAATCATGTACACACTTATCCAAGATTTAAAAAGTTAAAAAATTTAATTACTTTTAGTTACTTAACGAGCAAATTTTATTACGTAAAAGTAAATTTTGAAATGACGTCAACAACGTACACGTTTCATACCCTGCTTGATTTATGTATGTATAGGTATAACGACATAAATGTGTAAACTATGGAGGAGAGATATGAATAATTCGAATAATTACTGTACAGTCGGATGTGTGATGATGTAATTCAGAATCCATAAACCTGGGATTCATTGTATTTATCCTGTCTTAAAATGATTATAAAAACAAAGATTCGTTACGGCGTAACACTCAACTTTAGTCAAAACTTAAACTTGAATTATTTTAAAATCGAATATAGAGTAATTTTATAAGATTCTCTTTGGTTTGTTTTTCATGTATATCAAGTTGATATTTAAGTTTTATTGTAAGTAAACTAGTAAATTAATTTTGGCTGATAATATAAACATATTCCATTCAGTTAGTAATCACGTTGAAGCTGATTTAATTTAATATGATTTAGATATGAATGGTGTACTAACAATAACGTTACTCTTAATACTAATAAGCACCAGATAATGTAATTTTCTGGAACTCGAATAGTCACAAAATGTATTTAAAATTTCAATGATGAAACACTACGTTGGATTTATTAAGGACCTTGGTAATTTTTTTGAACTTTTTGGTTGTTATGTTAACATATTCTTTGTATTCTCCACTTAACCATGTAGCACTTAAATAGCGATATTTGTAATTAAACTTATACTTTTTGTACACATTTTTCTCAAGAAAAATTAACTGTCTGGAGTTCATAATTCGTTTTACCTTCCTAACTTCTACTGATAATACTTGGTCTAAAAATACATTTTATCTTCAAACAAAATTACTAACTATGCAAGTAATACTCTCCAATTATAATTATGAAAATTTTAAATTAACTAAAAATCAATTTATTTATCACCAAACTTTGATTCACTTAAAACTTACAATTTAATTTTTTGAAAATTATTGATTCTTGATTTGATTTTAATGTAATTTATTTTTCAGTTATATTTTATATACAAAATTACTCATAACAATTTTCTTGGTCAATTATTTGTTTTTCTCTTGTTTCGTTTATTTTAATTTATTCGAATATATATAGTTGTAATTTTAAAGTTGTAATAATTGTAATACTGATAACTAATGTAAACAATTAAAATGTACGGTCATTTCATTATTAATATTTATATAATTAATTTTATTGTAATTTAATGTTTGTATATTATTATTTAGGAACGATTGTCATAATTATTTAATTAAGGTAATTGGACCTGGTCCCTTTAAAACTAAAATTAATTTTAAAAAAATGTTATTTTCATTAAGCGTTAAAATAAATTAACACTATTTTAAATTTACAAAATAACATAATGAACATTAATAATAGCAAAAACGCATAAAAATCCATAATTTCTAATATTTATCAAATTTTAATCTTACATTACCTACATAAATCACCACGTGTGTAAATATATTTACAACCATTAGTATCATGAGCTATAACACTATATGGCAATGTAATACATATTACAAATTA